CCCACTAGCGTGCTCTCTCCCCCTATGCTTCGTCCTGCTTGCCTTATCAGGAGATAGGAAGAAGTCAATTCAGGAAGTCATAATGGCAGTTCCACTTCACACCGGCAGTGGAACGTTTCTTCTCATGGGGCATTCAGCGTTAGTGCCGGCATCCTGAGCTCTAACAAAATATTTCTTTCCCAATTGACAGCCACAGACATATAGAGCGGTGGTCGACTGAGAGAGTGAAGACGCGCCGCAGAACGCTTACGCTGAATGGAGTGAGTCTGGCGCGAATACTGCATGCGTTACCGCTATTGCAACGCCTATTTGGCCAAAGTCAGCGCGGCTCATTCCTCACGTCTTGTACGATTCCATATGAAGCGTACTCTGTGAAGGATAAACAACGTGGAATTGAATAACAAGTAAGCCGAGATATAAGCAAAAGTTCTGACGTCAGGGGGAAACTGGTTGCCCACCATGATTTCGAGACGAGAACGCTATCCGACACGCTACCGGGGCTGCTCTAATCTGCTCAGCTAATGATTTTTGTGCCACAACCAATGAAAGGCCCCGTTGCATAACGGATAGCGCACTCACCGGGAATGTAAGATAGGGGTTATGAAATCGCCTAGGGTGAGGCCTTCTGCTTGTAAATGAGCGCTCTCGCCAGATGCGAACCATAGCATAAACTGCAATCATTACTAAATGATTATCAGAAGCGACTTCACAGTTTTGTTGTTGGAATTATATAGTCACCACACAAACGTGACTTTTCTTTGCAATGCGTGTTAAAGCTGGTATGGGGAAGACACGTCTCAACAACTCCAAATAATGTCTACTTGAAACTCAGGACCTCAAGGAGGCCTTGGAGCTGGAGCTTGGTTAAAAGCCCCATTTTTAACGAAGTGGGTAGCTTATGTGCTGTGCCTACAGCACGGGATGAACAGAAGAAAAGTCGTGACGCCGGTACACGAGAATGACTTCACAGCTGGCTCATTTGTACTCAATTTTATCAGCATCGTTAGCACTCTATCGGGATGAGGATGTACTACTTTCGCAGTTTGAAAATACGATAGGAAGGCCTGTTTCTGGAAGAACTGCCGCCGCGCCCTCTGACCGCCGCAAACCTCAAGGCTCGCTTTTAACGGCTGTCTGATGATGCGGTTGTTCCGCCACTACCTCTCTCCATTTCGAATGGTGAGGGCGAGGTGATGGGGAGAAGGGGCTTGCACCAACGCGTGTGAAGTCGTTCTCCCCGGGTGTGCACATATAGTTTGGGATGACCTTATAATTACTTTTTCGCACCTCGGCATACTTGCCAGTGGGATACCCCCGCTTAATTGCTTACGCTGACTGGTGACCTCTCATCAAGTTACTGACTATGAGTTAAGTGAATAAGATAAGTGAAGAGTCATATAGAATGAATTTTCAAATGGGTGAGTATCCCACTGTGTATAATTCGCTAAGTTTATTTGTTGGTGTGTGGGTGTTTTTTTGAGGAAATCCATGAATTCCTTTGATTCAGCCGGAGAGAGTTCGAATTGGTAAGTGATACGGGGGAGGGGGGGGGGGGGTGGACGGGAACATGGATGATGGATGATGGGTGGCAGGAAGTGATAACAGCTGACATGGGGTCTTAAAAAGGGAGGGTCACCAAGTTCATAACTTGCGCTGCAGCTGTGGAGCGTTGATTCCAAGAAGTGACATAGGGGGTTGGATATGAGCTTCATTGGTGGGTGGCAGGAAGTATATTAGCTGACAAGGGACAAGGGATTAAGGGATGATAATGGGTGTTAGGTGGTCGCCAAGTTCATAACGTGGGTTTCAGCATCGCTGGGATGTTTAGTCCTAAGAAATGACATAGTGAACGTATGGGTCATGAATATTATTTATGAGTGGCAGGACGCATTAAGAATTATTATGATCTGAGAAGGGAATCTGAAACTCAAGCGTCGCCCGTCACAGTAGCAGCAGGAAATTGGTTCGGCAATGAGCTGATAACAGTGGGGATGTGACGGGGTTTATTACATGATGGGTACACAGAGAGGGATAGGGGCAGATAAGAGGCGTTACCCTCTTCCACACTACCGAATCATAAAGATTTTGTGGTAATGGATCACGGGTGACAAGGGATTATATCGACTGATGGGCGTAAATAAGAGATAAGAGCTTATTTCCTCCTAATTTTTTACCACTACACTTCTATATAGGTTCACCGTATTTCAGGCCAAGTATACAGCACCTATTGTTTTACTGCACGTCCAACCAACGGGAGGGGGGAAGGGTAGTTCACGTGAGGTCTACACCACAATCAAGAAAAGAATCAGCGATAATTATACGAGAAAGAAAAAAAAACTTAGCATTAATCGCGATTCACTATGGTAAACATTTCGCATTTTTTTTTCGCGCCAGGCGCGCAGTAGTGTGCGCCAGCCAAACTGGTGTTTCAATGAACCAAGTAATGAGGTCTTTATTCATTCCATATCTCGTTATTCTGTCTTGAGTGAGCCTGGCAGTGAGAGGTCACCAGTCAGCGTGCAAGCAATTAATCTGGGGGTATCCCACTGGCAAGTATGCCGAGGTGCGAAAAAGTAATTATAAGGTCATCCCAAACTATATGGTCACTCCCCTTTCTTCCCTTGCAGACAATCCTATATGCCCTGTTCCAGATTATACAGAAAAACATCGCTGCGTCATAAAGATGAATACCTAAGCAGTATGGGTCATTCAGAATATGAGACACCTGCTCTAAAGACACGCAGCACGGAATGTGATAGCCATGACTTTGGTAATCACTTCAAATCCCTATGATAAGGAATATACTTAGCTAGTTCTGTTAGGTAAAAGCTCCCATCGAGCTGTAATGGTTCTTTCTCTTCCGCAAGCAGATCTTATGCTCATGTGGGCATGTATCTGAGATAGAGCGTAAAGTGGTTTCCTAAGCACATCCGAGTTAGAAAGGGTTGAAACCCTCTCAGAAACATGTTATCAGGGTTCTTTTTTGGTGACGATACAGTGGCAAACCGCCAACGCTTTTCAAGAGGTCGAGCAAAGTTGAATCAGCAAAAGTTCTGCATTCAACAGCGAGCAGCTTTCCTGTTTAAAGGTACATGCGTACGCGTCAAACACATTGAGGGTGTATGAGACTGTCAGCCTTCCAGCTGTCGATGTGTCGGTCTCCCCGGGCAAAACTGCAAGGGGTCAGAGTACGGGGCCGTGGGGAAGTCGTAATTCTTGCTACAAGTACAGACCGCCCGTTTCCGCAAACTCACGTTTTACCAACACCGTCGCGCGGGTGCGTGTTTGCAGTGCTCTCTTGGCTTTTTGCCAAGTCCTGTAATTGCGCTTTGGAATACAAGTACAACGCAATTTCTTTATGCGGATAACATTTTAGGTTCTGCAAAATAAGAACTGAAGATGATGACAAGGGCTAGAACTCAAGAGCAACTGTGGTGCTTCTACAATATCCCTCAAAGGCCGCGCATTCCACACAGAACATGACAATAAAAACGGCCTAAGCGTCCCACTCGTTAGTTTGAAGTATTTCTATAGCTTTAGAAGATCGGACTTCAAGGCCAGATTTCGCCAGAAATGCACATAAATGCAGAATGATTTTAATTAATTTGCGTTTCCTTAGTTTTTTCAATTTTGTTTTATTTACATCTACATTCGTTGTTCTTCATTTCTAGCCTTTGTCATCTTCATCACCTTCTATTCGGACTTTGAAGCATGAGCAATACCTCAAATGTTAGGAAATTGCGTTTTGCTTGTATTGTCATGTTTTATTGTCATGTTGTCCGTTTTTATTGTCATGTTCTGTGGGAATGCGCGGCCTCTGAGGGATATTGCAGAAGCACCACAGTTGCTCTTGAGTTCTAGCCCTCGTCATCATCTTCGGTTCTTATTTTGCAGCACCTAAAATGTTATCCGCATAAAGAAATTGCGTTGTACTTGTATTCCAAAGTGCAATTACAGGACTTGGCAAAAAACCAAAACAGCTGCACTTGACACGCACGCGCGGACGGTGTTGGTAAAAACGTGAGTTTGCGAAACGGGCGGTGTAGCAAGGAATTACGACTTCCCCCGGCCCCGTACTCTGACACCCCGTGCAGTTTCGGGCGTAGGAAACCACGACACATCGACAGCTGGGGGCTGATTAGTCTCATACACCCTCAATGTGTTTGAAGCGTACCATGTGTCTTTAACGTTGGGCCGTTCGATCATGGTCAGATGAAAAACCTTAAAAATCGACTCACCGAGCCTATGATTTTGTCCTTTGCTGTTATTGATGATTCAGGGTTCTTAGTGTGCAGCTAGCTAGTTCTGTTTGTGCTGTTGACGCAATCAAGACGATGAACGGATTTTCTCTTTATTTTGCATTCATTCTGCATCCATTTTTCACATCGTGGCTGCAACAGCTCCTCGACTGAGTAAAGGTGCACTCACTCAGAGGGGCTACACTATCAAAATAGTTTCGCTTTTCAGTTTAATTGAGAGCTATTCATTCGAAAGAAGCGAGGTTTTATTCAAAATTTATTGCATTGTGAAATGTGTGCACAATGATTCTATGAACAATGGGGGGCTGTGAACTATGACAGGAGGATTTCAGAAAAAATGATATTTGAAATTAGTAGACAGACTCATATAAGCACGCGTTATCCTCTGAATCAATTGGTATGATGGCTATGTGACTACTTTGAAGAGGAAACTGCCACGCGATCTTTCTCGGAGAGTGACAAATTAGTGCTGAGTGTGACACAACCAAAGACTCACACATCAGCTGCGGTAGTAGTGCAGGGGGAAAAACGAGTGGTAACACTGGGTTCATGAGCGGGGATTGCCAAATCAACTGATGGCGCTCGTGATGAAATTTGCTACCTGATGTATGCGGAAATTAGGACGTTGAGAACGCTGCCCCCTTATGACAGATTGTAGCGGAAAGAGCAGCTGATAAATCAACCACTTTACCTCTGCAAAGCCACCATTGATAAAGAGTGTAAGCAGGTGGACTCAGGACTTCACAACTCAGATCTTTTACTACTAGGAGCGGAAGCAGATACATGCAAATTCGCAACACTGTTATGCCTCCTCCACCGAAAGAAGTTGAAAATTTCCAGACGAAGATCCGAAGAAAGCAATAATAATGAAAACGGAGGTAGACTGACCATGACGTCGTTTATCCAGAAATACTGAAAAAATTTTGTTATCCCGCATAGAACTATACGCGCTTCCAGGGTACAGCATCGTTGTGTGAAACACATAGGAGGACGTACTTGTCCGCTGGGGAGGGGGGTGGGGGTCGTATTTGGTCGTTGGGAGAGGAGGGGTCGTATGTGCGTTGGAAAGTTTCCCGATTGTTGACTTTTTGCGTGTTTTCCTGTTTGATGTGCTATATACCCATCTCCCTGTTCCCACATTTTCGGGGGAAAATAGGAAAATTTTTTGGGGATTTGGAAAAAGTGGTAGGAAGATGGGACATTCTGAGAAATTTTCCCGCTTCCCTGGGTCCCCCCCCAGTGTGGAAAATTGGTTGGTAGGAGTTGGAGAGGGGAGGGGGCAGTACCGAGACTCTCCTTTAGGAGAGGAGGATGTGTGAAATGGTGATGTCAGTACCACCCCTCCCCCGCTGGACTGCCACCACCATTTCACACATCACGATGCCCTGCACCCTTCTCCACGTTACAAACTGTTCTATCCTACTTGTTCATTTCTCTACACACAGTCAAATATAGTTGTATCCGTTATCAAAGTTGTTTCTCATGCTGACATGTTTCATGACTCTACGGCTTGTGCAGTGGTCGCATGCAAGTGCGGTTCTGTACGGTTTCACAGTCTGTTATTGACATCACCTCAGCATAATATGTGAAAAAGACCGAACTAACTGGACTGCGAAGCTGCAGAATGTGGATTGGGACAAGGTACGCAATAATTTGTTTTCTTCACTCTAACTGCAAAATCTGCCCTTTGACTTTGTAGTCATCCGGTACACCTCTGCCTAATTAGATCGCAGTACACGGCAGTACTTTCCTCTACAGTGAAAGCAGTTCCTCCCCCTCCAGGATTTTCCGTTCGGGAAATGTACATCTATTGATATTCACTGCAGTTATACAGGGGGGGGGGACAAAAAAAGACAGCCTGGCCGAGTAATATATCAGTGAAGTTGACGCAGCCCAGATGGAAGACGTGGATGCGAGTATCAGGGCGGAAGACACCCAAGATTTTCCTCGATAAGCAGGGGGATTCTCTCGTTAACACCTTCATTACACAAAATATGAAGCCATACCCAATTGCAGCGGGACAGGAGAAGGTCTGTGGGATTCACGTCACGTCCAAACAGCTGCGACATTTATTGTATGGAGGCACCAACTGATAGCTACCTGGGACCAGCACTCTTGATCTGGAAGACCTCCAACATCGAGCAGCTCCGACAACGTCGCTACGGTCCAGGATATCATCTTCACCGCAGTCGTCAAGGCGCGGGTTGATGGTATGGACCGGAAGTTCTGGAATAGGAAAATCGATATTGTTTTTGTGGATCTCGGACTGAAACTGGACGCTGACGACTACATAAAACAGCTCAGGGTGGAAGCCTACCTTTTGCCGCCGCCTGCACCTACGTGGAAACTTCGTACTGCTACAGGGTTGGGTGCCAGCACATGGAATCGAAGGGCTTTGGAAAAACTCTCGCCTATTTGGAATTGAAGGACTTGAGTACCTGATGACGAACGGACATCCAAGTGTGCTACCTCCCCTAGACCCACTCGATTACCGGATTCGAGCGGACAGCAACAACATTCAACAATGTGGTCTACAGGGGCGAGAAAACCTCGCTGAACTCAGGCACCGAATCACGGTCGCGTGGCAGAATCTCTCGATGGCGTTCGTCCAGAAGGCTGTGGCGGAGTCTCGTGATCGTGGCTGCTAAATGTGAATGTGCTGTTAAATCTAATGGTGAAAATGTTCAATCAAGGTCCGAGAAAGGGTAACTTATATCGCCTTGAAAGTGAGGAATGAAAATGTCTTTTTTGGCTCCCTCTATCTATTTACACTTATCTACCTTTCCTGGACTGCACGGCTTTCTTGTACTTGATCATTTGAATTAAAATCGATGAAGAAAGACCAACTTGCATTGTTACCCATGTATTTAGAGCATCGTTGTTAGTGAATGCAGATATAGACTTCGTGACCTGTTGAGAGCACATTAATATGGAGCAGATGAAGACTAGCGATGTATATATGAGTAAGCTCTAGAATCAACTGCTCGTTACGGATATTAGGAATCCAACTTCTTTTCAAGTTCGCGAAGAAGTGTTGTAAATTTCGACGCGTCATGAAATCAGAGATGATTCATGACGAAGAAGATTGTTTTTCTCACCTTCTCATGGTGCGTGTGCTCCCAGTTATGAGATTTCGATAATCGATTCAATTCAACGAGCAGCTTGGTATTAAAACTGAGGCATACTGTGGCGTAGATCACGCATGCCACTACGAATGTAGATCTAACTATCTGAAACTAATTTTTGATCTCAACTATCTTTCGAAAACCATCTCTTCACACCTCAGTGTCTAGCATGATGCTACATGTATACCAGCAAGAAAGCGAATGACCTTATTATCATTTTTGGCAGGGTGGATAGAGCCTGGTATAGGCAGCTAGCACCACTTCTCACCCCGACATACAACTAAAGACACAAAAAGCTGTCGGATTGGATCAAGTGAAAGTTGGTCCTGTCATATTGGATCCAGCAAAAAATTCTGATATACATCCCATGTGCAAATGATGTTTAATTGAATAGAAAGTGGCTCCAAAACATGGAGGAGCATAGGCAGATTGCGCTGCTCTGCGCGCACACTGTCAGGGTTCTTCTGAAGAGATCCTGCCAGAATCAACGGAAAGTTCACTCGCTTCAGCGTTACTTAGATAGAGCCAGAATTCTGAAGCAGAAGCTATTTGCTGACAGCTCACCATGAAGTGGAAGCTAGACATGCAGAATATCATGGCGACTCTGAATGGTCGACATACGTGCACTCTTGAGAGTGATGAATGCCGAGCGCTTCAAATTACTCTGTTCTTACATGCTCTGCGTTATTCATTGCCTGTGGAAAACAGAAGCTCACTTTGTGCGGTGTGCAGGCACATAGTACACTTTTTGATGTGGTCCTTTACCTCTTGCAGCAACTTTACTTCGCGCTTACTGTGACTGCTCTGACCTCCCACTCTCGATACGTCACTATTCATATACAGCTGCGGAAAAAAAACTCGGAACAAGCCACAAATCGCTTCTCGAACAGTTTCGAGGCTCCTAATCACCAGCAAAACAGTGGAAAGGTAGCATACAGCGAGTATTCAACAAGAAATAATTATTCAACGCTCGAAATTCGGTTTGCTCACTACTAAAGTTGACTACAGCTTTCGTGTAATCGATTCCACAGGAGCTTCAGAGGCACCAGGGATAATCGTAAAAATTTTTTTGGAGTACATAGAATTGCTCACTCGTGTTGTAGTCTTCCTTCCTTTGACTCATGCTTCGAGTCATCTCAAAGCTGCCTGATGGTAGTGAGGTGAAAGCTTTTACTCGGTCATTTTGTGATCCAGGTGCTGTCCTTGTGTGCCAAAGCTTATAGACTTCACGCTTTCCTGTGATTGCTTGCAGTCGTTTTTACTGCTTTGTCAAGACAGCCCTTTCAGGGATATTTCATCTATATCCACAATATTTCGGTGCGGATGTCAAGAGAAATCAAGTAATAATTTGATGGAAAATTCCAAATGTTTTGGCATGCTCCAAGTTTTTTTTTCCGCAGCTGTAAGTGTCCATCCATATTGGACTGCTCTTCCCAAAGGTCATGTTTTGATTCAGGTGTTGACATGGTTTCCAATTCGTGATTTTGCAGCAATTCCACGGGATTTTGCAGTACGCCAGTTATCCGTGATCCCACATTCTCCTCTAGAAAATTCTCGACATGAGTCAGAGAGCAACACAGGAAGATAGAGAGATCATGTCAAAAAGCAACGGTCCAACGGCGGCTCATTCATTTAAAATTGATTCGAGCACCATTTTACAAGATTATTCGATCATATCACCTTTATTTATGCAAATCTGTTATCACTTAATATATATGTGTCAATAATTTGCTATCTCTTAATAACTCATTGACCCGCACACTTCACAGCATCCGTATATCCTTCTGCGTTACATCTCCTCTTTCTGTGTTACATCCCCTTGATCAGACGAAACGGACACGACATGCCTAAACGGTGCGGACAAGCCCTAAGCGGTGGCGCAATTTACAGAATTTCCGCTCCCAATCTCCCCTTAGGAAAGCGGAAAATTTTGGTTTCGTTCGCGCTGGATACTCATGCTCTGGAAAGTCGTGACATACTTACAAGATCGACGTGTTTTTCGAGCCCATCACACGCAACCGTTCCATCCTCATGGTGAGTATATATCATTTTCGCTCCAGTGAGATGGATGAAAGCAGCAAACGAAACGAGGTACTGGACGACAACTACTGCCAAGACACACTTCCTGGTCCAAATCTGTAAGAAACCTATCTTTCGTTATTATGAAGTTTCCATGATGTTGCCATAAATGTTTGCAAATGTAAGGACAATTTCTCTCATGTTTTATGAGGAGTTCTTATAGAGGAAAAAAATCACCACATCGTATTTATTCGTGAGACAAACAGCCGAGTATCGATTAATGGTAATAAGCATGTTCCCGATCATATGTGCAACGAATGCTGCACCGCTGATAGTAAGGCAGGCCAAGGCGACACTCTGGAAACCTTCATCCAGACCAAGTTCGCGGTTCAGTCGCACAAAACAACAGGACAAAAGCGACGCAATATCGGCGATACCTTAATGTGAGTGATGTACCGAGTCAATGTTAATACTACTTCTAGACTCATTCTCTTTTTGATAAGATATTTCTTAGCTTTTCAACTACTCGTGACTCATAGATGCTAGTCGAATCTAATGTAACGCCACACACCCCCACGGGAAGTCATTGGTCGTTGTGTAACGTACACGGCTAGAACGGTGAACACGAAGAATCAGGAAGACAGATGACTCCATATATCAAAGTAGAAATGCAAGTTCGGAGGTTGAGATCATTCGCGGCGAAGCATGACGTTTAACTACGACCGCTGTAAGGAAGAAGAAATGATATGCATGAGGTGTAGGTTATTCTGAGTGTGACGGCAGCGGTGCCCGTAACATGTCATGGCCACCTACTAAAGAATGCGGGAGAAGTGTGAGCTAACAGCCATTTCAGTGATGGGAACTACGGTACTTCACAACAGTGTTCGCTACACTCACGACGCACGACTCTTTCGGCCGACCACAGACAAACAGGATGAAGAATTTCCCATCTGCGAACCGCATTGCTTTTATACAGCCTCAGCTAAATATGTTTGTTAAGTAGTTAAGTAGTAAGTAATAAAGTTTGTTAAGTATCTAAGATACTTCTTAACATTATTCTTTGATGTGTCCTCGAACTTGTACGAGTTGACGTTCAATTTCCTCATCCTCTGGCTTCAGTCTAAAAGATAGGGCCGTTCACATATGAACACGAGTTTTTTTTCCGTTTTTATTTCTTTTATTTTTGGGGTTTCTGTGGATGTACAGCTGATATCGTCGAAAATCAGTCAAGGCGGAGTCCCTAGGCATGGACTGAGGTCATTAAAGGCTTTTTTACCACTGCTCGTTTTCTTCGAAGACTGGTCGCTAAACGACCACTAATCGGTAGAGAAAGCAGCAAAAAGCGCTTCTGGCACTCCTGTACTCACGATTGCTGCATATTGCGTTGAACGTTCAGCCACACAACAAGACTATGGGTAGAGCATCGTCCTCAGAAATAGTATTTGACTACACACTCCCTTCTATTAACCACAACTATTGGGTTGGAACATAAGTAATGGCGTTTTTTCAAACTGAAAATTTTGTTTTAAAAGTGAAATGTTTTGCAAGCAAGCTTGATATCGTCTGATAGGAAACTTCGCGTAGTATAAGAATATTTAAACAGCTCCGGTCGAGGGAATAGTTTTTGCGTGAATTTTTTAGTCTCGAACTGTGCAAAGTGGGAGTCGGGGAAAATTAGCCTTCGACACTGCCTCTATTTTACGTGTACTCGAAGTGCTACAAATCGTTAAGGCTGTCTCCAACCACCATTTGGGAAGAGAGGTCGTGCTAAAGAAGCTCTCAGCGAAGGGAATCTCAAGGACGGCTCTTTGGACGTAGTTCCAGAATTTCGAAAGTTTCAGCACTTTCCCTGGCGCCGATGATTGGGCAGACAGGCTCAACGTCTGGTTCACTTTGAAATTTTCATGGCTAATAGTGTGAATCTACCCTAATTGAATTGTGTGATAGATACTTCTAGATACTAGCGAAGATGTTTGGCTATTAAGGATAATTAAGCTTGCTTGCAACTTTTTAGCTTTTTGGAACAAATTTTTCGATTGAAAAAACGGCCATTACTTATTAGCCAGCCCACTGCTAGTGGGCTGGCTAATAACTGCTAGTGGGCTGGCTAATAAGTAATGGCGGTTTTTTTCAATTGAAAAATTTGTTTCAAAAGTGAAAAGTTTTGCAAGCAAGCTTAACATCGTTTAATAGCAAACTTCTCGTAGTATTAGAATATCAAATTCAATTCAATTAATTCAACTATTAGCATGAAATTTTTTCTAATAGAGGCAGTTGTCGAAGATGCTAATTTTCGCGACTTCACTTCCAACTTCAACGACTAAAAAATTCACAAAAACTATATCCTCAACCAAAGCTTTTTTGATATTCTTATACTACGAGAAGTTTCCTATCAGATGATATATAACTTGCTTGCAAAACATTTCACTTTTCAAACAAAATTTTCAGTTGAAAAAACGACCATGGTTCACCGAGCCATTACTTATGTTATAGCCCCAACTATAAAGAGGTGCTAAAATATCCGTTCACCAGAAACTTCGCGTCCTTCGAGGTTTTCGAGTCAAACTACTGACTACCGTTGTGTGTGTATTAGACATATAATTCCAATATAGAGGGAGCGATCATGCACTATTCCACCCCCGACTCTTAGGAAGAAACAACTTCTAAATCTTAACCTGTTGCAACGAATATAGAAAAAAATGCGCTTTTAAATATTGCTGTTTTGGAGGTGATAATGACAAATAGAATGAGTGTGTAGAAGAGGAGGAGAAAAGCTTCTACGGCAGTTTGCAGTACGTTGTGCACCATACTGTTCTTAAGGCTCTGAAAGAAAAATCTGGTTCGTGGTGAATTTTTTCCCCAATAAAACTTTTCGAACTCACGCCACACACTTTGAAATGTTATTCCAGGCCTACGACAACCGATCACTGCACATTCGTCATTGTTTCGTGTCAGTGGTACCCTGAAAAACGAAATGTGCTTGTATTTCAGGAAAGTTCAAGAATCAAATTCGAGGGAACGAATCCATTAAAGCTGAAGATCGTGAAAGGTGGATTTGTGCAGTTCAGTTTAGAGAGAGGAGGAACATTCAAAAGTGGCCACCGACAAAAATGCTCAGCGGCTGATGTGTCTTTGCATGATGGTTACGAACTGGTTTTCCATATCTGCTGCGAGCCTCTGTGAACAAAGGCATAGAATATTCTAGAGGAATCATTTTCATACTCACTAAGATATCGGGAGCGAGATTCAAATGTTTTGCCGTAGCTCAACAGTGTTATTGCCATCTCGATAATTAATTAATCTCGATAATTGCAATTCTATGAAATTTGTCCTATATTCAAAGTAATTTTACGTCCACGATTTATAGTGTGCCCCGCTCCTCCTAAAAACGTTCGCAACTTTGTCTACAGAGGTCCACCACAGAAGTGTGAGACAGCCTCCTAACTAGCGTCGAAAGGCACATGAGAAAATGGCTAGAAAGCAAGTGACGGTCAAAAGCCTGCATGAGTTTCCCAGTAATCTCTACGGTAGATACGACTCCATGTGTATACTAAGGTATCGATGCAGCACCGCAGCCGCTTCATATCAATCTCTTCCCATCATATTGTACCTTACAAATGAAGCGATACGAGGTCGGACTTTTATGGGCGGGCGGAGCGGTGACGTCCGGGTTGGCATGTCGCAAGTTGATAGGGCGCTGTGAAGGGTTCGAAAACCTTTTTTGGAAAAGAAACTTGGTCAGGGGCGCCGAATTCTATCCTGCTAATCGTATCAATCCTACACATTTTGGGGATTTACCGTGCCATTTGCCTTCAAACAGAACGCAGCTCGGAGTTAAGAGTTTCAAGGAATAATACTTATAGCAAGCAGTTTTCAATAACAATAGCAAGCAGTTTTCAATAACAACAGCTCCCACCCACAAGAGTACAGCGAATGGCATGAGATAGCATCTCCAGGGGGGGGGGAGGGGGAAATTATTTATTATCAATGGGTATTTCAATTATTTCAAGTGAAGCATCAACAACAATAATATTTTCAGGAAACACAGAGAACGCTAATGATTCCAAAGCATTCTCATCAAACGAAATTGTTCGGGGAACTTCTGCTGGGATTACGTAGTGGCTATCATCAGATGTTGGACACTACATGTATGTACAGGTTTTGAGGAATGGTCCGAGCACCGCTGTAAAGTCGATATCATTGTTTAAGTTACGGTCTCTGTCGTAGTCGGTCGACAACGTCTGAGTTATGGGCAAAAGAGCTGATGATACGCAGGGTTCGATCCGAACTTCACGCTTTTGGGGCGAGAGCGCTATATGTTAGGCCGCGTTCATAGCTTGCGACCATGAAGAAATGCAGAAATGAAGAAGTGCGGAATCTGCGGAAATGACGAAAAGCATTACATACGTATCGATTTGAAGAAATGCAGAAATGCCGAAACTGCAGAAATGCAGAAATGAAGAAATGCAGAAATGCGGAAACTGCAGAAGTGCGGAATCTGCAGAAATGACGAAAAGCAACCGATACGTATCGATTTTCCGCACTTTCTGCATTTCTGCAGATTCCGCACTTCTTCACTTTCGGCATTTCTGCATTTCTTCAATCGATACGTATCTATTGCTTTTCGTCATTTCTGCACTTTCCGCATTTCTGCATTTCTTCACGGTCGCAAGCTATGAACGAGGCCTTACGCAGCGCGACTCGGGGTTGAAAAGCTTGAAAAGTTTGAGGTTTGGGTTCTATCCTGTCTGGGATCGCGACTTCTGCTAACAATTCAGCATTCTTGCGGAACTTTTTCGGAGCGGGAATCGCGGCATTCAGCAGCAGTTGCCATAGCATAGCATTAGCTGAAATGCACTTAAAGGCATCAGGCACGATAATTTGATACTCGGTTTACAATGGTAGCAGAGGTGTTAAACTGCGGGAAAATGGCGAAAAAGGGACAGGTCAAAAACCTGCGAAAAAAGCCTCTGCTCTACACAACTCAGACAGCAATTTCGGACGAGTTTCGTGTTGGCATCGTGCCAATAACCGCTAGAAACGGCTGCATATATGAACTCCTATATCCGTGCAGCACCGCGTCCGCTTCATAATCCCTTCGCTTCATATTGTACTTCGCAAATGAAGCGATACGAGCATCAGCATCGGTCGTCCATTTGTGGGCGGGCGGGCGCGGTGGGCGTTCGGGTCGGTATGTTGCAGCTTGATAGGGCGCTACAGGAGCACTTTTTCTTGGAAAAGGCGCTACGTGGCGCCTGTTCAAGAGCGACGATCTGTTGTGCTAGGCGTGTTGATCCTACCCGTCT